CTCAAAAAGCAACAGAATATACGTGCACGAGAACAAGCAAAATGGTTTTTACAAACCTCCCAGACTAAACCAAACACACTCTCATCACAGCAAGGAGCAAACAATGACAGTCGTTTAGAAGCATGAAAGACACGACTGATGACAGACCTTGCAATCGGATATGGAACATGGCAAAAACATTGAAACATCATAAGGAAAAAATAACAAGTCAAATAATGGTTAGTCTAGCTGAATCACATTTCACAGTCAGTGAACAATCTGTTGCTAGTATTTTTGGAGAGGGTTCAGCAGAGACCCGACGTTATCACATTTTAAGCCTTTGCCTGCAACCCCAAGGCTATTTATAGTGCTTCTATTGTTGCCATAAACAAATATCTCAACAGAAAGAGATGCATACAAATGCTTAAATGGTCCAACTTAATCATCATAGCATAATCATGATAATAGATTGGTTCATTTTTCACATCAAGTATTGACATTATTGCATAACTTATGTAAGACATTGCTGAAAATAGTAGGACGTGGAGTTTGTGTGCACGAGCATAAATGCACTCTATATCTTGATAGTTCGTTGTAGTGGTGGGATCTGTGCCATATTATTTTATACCTCAATACAGAGCAGCAGTAATGAGTGGAATACATGGTCTACGTAGGTCACTGTGGTGAGTTGTGGGCCAGCGTAATGACCACGTTCTGTTGGGTGAGGTTACGAACGTTTGTGGATTAAAGCTGAGCCTTCATCCGACTCCTTAATGCCTTGCTGAACCGTGGCACAGGATGCCTAAAAAAATGCGGCACAGTAAGAAGGTGATCGCCTTGTCCTCTCGTTATTTTTTTTGGTTCTGTCCAATTCGGTTTTGCTGCGGGTGTTTTCATTGGTTATAGGAAAGTTTTAGAATCTTGTCTCAGACCCCTCCAAAAAAAAGAACCTTGTCACAGAAAAACGAGGAAATTTTAGAACATTCGTTGAACCAGTTTTTTATAACTTTCTTTTTGTTGGGCTTTACAGGTTTTGTTTGAGTTCTTTTATTTTTCAGCTTTCTCATAATTTTTTATTTATAATTCACGAATATTTTCTAATATCTTGAACACTTTTGAATTTGCAAATTTTGAAATACTAGAATAATTTTTTAATTTGCGGATATTTTAAATTCGTCCATGTTTTTTGAAGCCACACGCATTTTCTAAATATACGAGCATTTTTGGATTCATGAATATTTTGTGAATCCATTAACATTTTATTGAATTCACAAACATTTTCAAAATGCATGAACACTTTTGGATTCATGAATATTTTTTGAATCCGCAAATATTCTATTGAATCCAGAAACATTTTCTAAATGCATGTACAATTTTGGATTCATGAATATTTTGTGAATCCACGAACATTTTCTAAATGCATGAACATTTTTGGATTCATGAATATTTTGTGATTCCACAAGCATTTTTTTAATCTACTAGCATTTTCTAAAGGCACGAGCTATTTTAGATTCATGAATATTTGGTGAATCCATAAACATTTTTTTTGAATCGATAAACATTTTCTAAATGCATTGACATTTTTGGATTCATGAATATTTTGTGAATCTACGAACATTTTTTTAATCCACTAACATTTCCTAAATGCATGAACATTTTTGGGTTCATGAATATATTTTGAATCCACAAACATTTTTTTTAATCCACAAACATTTTTTAAATGCATGAACATTTTTCATGAATATTTGATGAATCCACAAACATTTCTTTTCGAAATCCGAAACATTTTTGAAACTCACAAACATTCTTTGAAATTCTTGAATATTTTCTGAATTCATGCACATTTTTTGTAACTTGCTCTCGTCACTTACAAACATTTTTAAAGCGGAGTAACAGGGAAGGTTTTTAACGGATGAGTCAAAATATTTGCGGGCATTTTGGTAAACCACGTTGGAGTTGGTGAAGCACGACAAGCCACAGGTGTATTGAATGTGTAGTGCTACACTCAAGCACTAGGCATCATTTGATCAATGGGTTAGAGCATCTCTAGCCGCGCCCCAGAACGGCCTCCCAAGGCGATTTTTTTTGCGCCAGCGTCGGAAAAAAGGCCCAGTCGCGCCCCCAGGAGCTCGTTTTTCACCGGCTTGGGCCGAAATCAGCGCCTGCGGACCCAGGCCGAACCCGGTGCGTCGGGGGGCGCCGGGGCGATTGGTTTTGACGCGAAACAGCTGCAGGCCCGCCGAGTCAGTGAGACGGGCGCTTCGTCGCCCTCATCGCCTCGGTTCCTGCGGGAATCAATGCCAAGGCTGCCGCGCTGCCGCTGTCGGTCAGCCTTGCCATTGATTCCACATCACGGGCGGCGCGTCACGGGGCGGCGCGGTGACGCCTCCCCTCCCGCCACGCGTACACACGGGCGCGGCTATATAAGTCGGTGGCCTCCCTCGCCTCTGGCCACACCAGCCCTAGCCGCCGAGCTCTCCCTCTCCCGTGCGCCGCCGCCGAGCCCTCTCTCTCCCTCCCTCTCCCTCACTTGGAGTCGTGGCTCTTTTTCGAGGCCAACATCCCGGCGCCGCCGGACATGTGCACCGGGCCGACGGGGCGGAGGCTCAGCAACGGGGGAATGCCCGTTCCCCCGTTACCCGACGCCGAGGCGCGCCCCTCCTACTTCGCCGCCGAGGTCGATCGCGTGCGCGCCTCCCTCACCGATGAGCAGCTCCCCCCCCCCTAGTACGACGCCGACAACCACGCGGCGTGGGCATCGTACTTCGAGCGCTGTAAGGAGCAGAGGCTGGCGTCCACCAACGGGGCGCCGGTGGTGGGCGGCGTGAAGAACAGCGAGGGGCGCTGTGTGGTGGGGCGCCCCCGGCCGCACGCTCGAGGGCGTGCTGGCGTACCTTGAGGGCGGCAAAAAACTGCCGCTGACATACCCTCCCCCGGATCACTCGCAACACCGGCATCGTCATCAATGAGGGCGGCCGGCACGCCTCCCCGTCCGCTCCTCCGCGCTTCGTCAAGCCAAAGACGGAGCCGGGGCTCACGACCGTGGAAACGGAGCCGGGGCTCCCCGCCGTGAAGACAGAGCACGGCGACGTGGAGCTCGACGATGAGGCGGGCCCTGAAATGGGCGCGCAGGGACTACCTGAAGATGGAGATGGAGCGCCAGTGCGCCGCCCTGCAACGCTTCGAGCAGCGCCGCCGGGGCCGCGACGAAGAAGGCGTCGTCGTCCTCGACGACAGCGACGACGACGACGCGCCGCCGCCGCCACCAGTCCGACATGACGACGCCGGGCAAGGGTCCAGCGGGGACGGCCGCGTTAAGGAGGAGAAGGCCGACGATGACGGCGGCGGCGAGGATGGCGGCGACGACGACGACTACTCAGTGTTCAGCGATTTCTTTTTTTACATAAATTTGCTATGTAAGCCGCGAACATGTCTAATATATGCCAAAGTTTGCCGAATTTTAGCCGTGTTTGACCGAACTTCGCCGAATGTTTTTTTTTTTAAATTAGATGCGTTTGGGGCCGGCGACTGGGAACCAACTCGCCCCAGACCGTTTCTTTGCGCCGGCTCTCCCCAGGCGATGATTTTACGCGCCCCCTGGGTGGCCAACGGCTGGAGATGCTCTTACCAAGCATCTGACTGGCCAAACTATCGTAGCATGGAAATGATATTGACATGGTGGAGCGAAATATATTTTATTACTGATCATCACATGGACGATCGGACAACGAACTATCTGATCTCTAGGAACTCCAGGTGCCATATTAGACAGGATGGTTACACCAAAATGAAAACCAACAGCGTACAAGGCATAACTTGAAATATTAGTGGGTAGCTAAACAGGACGCACTGCTTGGGCAGATTGACATAAATAAATCGTAAACCGGATGCTAAACGTACTCCACACGCACGTGATGTAAGTGCTTTGCCGCACGAACAGTAACAGCAGCAGCGCAAGGACGAGAACTGGGGCGAGCAAACGTTGTGGCAGCAGCAAGGAAATGCACAGTGCAAGCTACCGAGCTGGATCTGTGTTTGAAGACGGGCCACAACATTTGAGAACACCTAGGCCGGACGTGGCATAACGACAAACGTTGCAATAAGTGTCTGAACAATGTGGGCCATATGAAATGACTGCAGGAATGTACAACGCAAATACTTACTGAAATACGAGATGCAGTACGAATCTTGGAGCGAACGCTTGGCTAAGATAACCCGTGCATATGAGCTCGTGCTCAGAAGGCACTTTCCAAAATAGTAGCTCTTATGTAGTAAAAGCTACCTTGTGCAAGTACACTATCTAGATAGATCCATCTATGTCAAAATGGCATTGCTATTTAAGTGTATATGTAGGAAAGATAAAATATATGTATACAAATTTAGAAGGCAAATGGCTGACATACGACACCAGACACAAGTTTAAGATATGGCCAACCCGAACAATATTTTTTCCCAGAAATGGAATTATTTTATGCTTTCAGCAACATCATGTACTATCTATATGATTAAAAAATAGTTGTTACCAGAACAACATATATTAAACGTGATTCTATTGAATGATGACGAGAACTAACGAGAAAAGTCCAAACAGCAAACAGTTCCTTCCAAGTCCCAAACAAGACATTCTTTTGTATATGATTAAATGGCCATTTTATCTGTGTGTATCTATCCGGTGGCAGTGGCAGTGGCTCGTTAAAAATGCACGGCTGGGTGATCCAATTTTTTTTTTGTGAAACTATTCCATAGAATTGAAATTTCATGCAGAAACCTAGAGAAGAATGCAAATTTCACTGGAAAAAGTATTTCACCACACAGTTGCGCAGCCCTGGCATCACCACTGGGGCAAAGAAAGGGACAATGATGTACAATACCTTCTTGATAATCACCTTTCTCAGAAGACGGAGCAGCTACCTCAACATTGCTACCAGAGGTATTTGAGTCCCCAGCATCATCTTTGCTGCTTGTGCCCTTCAACGATTCTTCACTTGACACACTCTTAGTAACATCATCCAAAGAATCATTCACCTCTTGAGCATTGTATGTGCATCCATATTTCTTGAACGTGGCAGCACATCCAAGAGCAACTTCCTCATGATGCGGAACCCTTGGTGAAAACAAAGGTTTAATTTTTCAGCCTATAATTGTTAAGTTTGTAGATAACACAAGACCGCAAAAGTTACTCAACCTGAGGTAGAACAGCACAACTACAACTATTCTATCAATCATTTTGGCATGAGGTGCTAACTATGTTTTGTTGACTGTTATTTATAACAACAAACTAAACATCACCAGAGGTATATAACTCTTCTCGAATAGGATAACACCTACCCTTTAAATAAATGCACTTTGATTTAGTGTTCATCACAACACAGATATCATGAAAAAAGATGCCAAGTCCTAACTCTTAAGTACCACCATGGAAAAACACTAAGGTTAATCCGACTCAGTAAACTCCTCAAATGTAGTTTGGCTCGTTGTAGAACAAAAGATAGACCACTTGGTAACTACATCATCCTAGAAGGCTAAAACATCTAAAACTCTTCTGAACTCATCTGTTGAACATAACGACTTAAAGTCCAAAGCAACTAAGGGCACATTGTGCTATTCTTAAAGAGCACTGAACTAAGGGGAAGCTTTATTCCACAATCACATCCATACAAATGTTTCAGCATAGCTCGGAATAGGGGAAGTGTTTGGGAATGGAGCCCTCACCTAACATATTGTCGTGGCTGATGCATTCAAAGGTGTTGACAAATTCTCCCTCATTGATAGCATTGGACCCCTTATTGAACAGCTCGTGTGCCTGATGTATTGTTTTCTCCCCCTCTCCCCCCTCCCCACTACATGCCTCCTCACTAGGCTTCGATAGCAGTTGATTCTGGTGGTCGCCTCTTGGCGCAGGAGTGTAGAAGGTGACAATTGGAATAAATTTATGGAAACGGAAGCCACAATGGTCGGACACCTTCATCACCAGCTCAGATTGTAGATCAATTGCAAAGAGGCCGACAACTGTAGTAAAAAAAATTGCATTTGCTCCCTCAGCAAAGGCCTTCAGTGCCACTACATAACATTCATCCAACAAAGCACTGGTTGGGAGCAAATTGTGCGGGTAGATGACCCGGCTCAGCAACCATTTTGCATCAGTGCCATCACTCGCCTCTCTTGTCCACAACTTGAGATGCCGACGCAAGTCTTGGATTAATCCAAGCCCACCGTCCTCCGTCACCATGAGAGTACATGTGCAGTCATAATAGTTGCCTGGTACGCTGAATATAGTCAGAACATGCCTTGACAAGTCATACTCCAGGATTGACTCAGTGTCCACGTAGTCGTAGACGATGAAGTAGAGCAAAGAGCTATCAATGAGCACACTTGAATATTTTGTGAACCCTATGAACTCGCCGTGCATTGTGGTCATCCCGCCCCAGGCACCAATCTCTAACGAGTATGCACATGCCGACGTTACATACTCGTCGGCGTCTTCCTTGGAGGAGAAGACGAAAAGCACGCAGAAAGGACCCCCAAGGCAGCCGCGATGGTCGCACCTATCCACTGCGCAGAACACGGCCGCCGCCGAGTAGCCAAACTCGAACGCTACAGGCAGCGGTACACGCTCTTGGGTACCCGTGATTGGCTCCCACACGAGGAGTTCCTTGGCATCCTGGGATCTGGACAGGAAGAGGGCACGACCATGGCGGCAATCGAGGGCCCGCCACGAGCGGTGGTCCGGGGCAGCGAGGGAGAAGGACGACGCAGTGGTGGGGATGAAGTACGGGGTGCGCTCGTTGGCCTCGTCGTGGAGGAAGCCGAGCACGGGGGATGCCTCGTGGATCTTGTGGAGGCGGCGGCGAAAGCTGGGGTGGAAAATGATGTTGCTCCAGCCCTTGCAGACGAGGGAGGATCGTAGGAGGCAGGTAGGGTCGTCGGTTGGGAAGCGGAGGAGGATCTCTTGGATGAGATCGTCCGGGAGCGACGGCGGCGCTGCTGCCATGGTGTGCTAGATCTGGGTGTTGGTGTGGAGTATGGAGCGGAGAGGTGGGCTGGAATTTGGAAGAGATAATTCCTTATTTAACATCATCTTAACTTTTCTTTCCCTATCCGACTCAGATTTTTTTCTTTCTTATCTAGAAGGGGAGCCTTGGCATAGTGGTAAAGCTGCTGCCTTGTGACCATGAGGTCACGGGTTCAAGTCCTGAAAATAGCGTCTTGCAGAAATGTAGGGAAAGACTGCATACATTAGATCCAAAGTGGTCGGACCCTTCCCCAGAGCCTGCGCAAGCAGGAGCTACATGCACTGGGGCTGCCTTTTTTATCTAACACTAAGTTATGCCTTTTGTTATCTGACTCAGATTTTTTTCTTCCTTATCTAACACTAAGTTGACACTTACGTCACTTCCGTTATCCTCTGCCGCCTAATTTTTGTCAACCTTTTAGGATTTATATAGGTAGTCAATTTTTTAGGTGGACGAAATTACCACTTCCGGAAAAGAGGGGCCAAACTGGCCCTCTCTCCCGGCCCGACTCGTCTCTCTCCTCCGCCTGATTCCCCCAAACCCTATCAAGCGGCGGCGGCACAATTGTAGCTCATAGCGGCCGCTCTGCAGAATCGCCACTCTGCAGCTTTGCATCATAGAGTTGTGACTGACTGACGCTATCTCGAGACCCAGGTGCATATAGCAACAAACCGACAACCATGTCTTTCGGCAGAAGCACCTGACAAGAAGATAGCAGCTGAGCAGCATTCACATCTTCAAGGTGCCCAACCCTCTGAAACTCATCGTAGCATCAATGTCCTCAGGTCCATTCCAGCAAGCCTGCTCACCCTGAAACCATTTGATACCCAGCTATTATAAATTCAAACAGGCAATATATTATATACATAAACAAACACGGTTGCACTTACCTTCTTCTCTTTCTTTTTATTTGTGTTGATGCCCCCCTCCTCCTCATCTTGTTGTTTCAATATTCTCTCGTCCAAATCTGAAGAACAAGCACAAGCCAAGGATGTAATTTTAACTTTCAGGCAGGAATCTGATAGGACAGTGCAGCCTTCAGTGGGACTGGGAGATTAGCCCCCCCCCCCCTTTTTTTCTTTTTCTAGGAATAAGTCTATGAGGCTCATATGTGATGTGAATACTGAGCAAACAATCATAGGAAGTATCTCCACAAATAATACTGATGCCTGCCAAATTGTCTGTCTCCATCATCTCCTGCAACTAGTTGCCTTTGCAACATTGATAACCAATGGATATTTCTTGCAACTAGTAATTCTAACTTGTTGAGCCGTGATATCAGTTTGCGAAGAAATTATGCATACACTGTTACATTGCCATTTTCAGGTATTGCAAACAGCCTGTTATAGTGGTGCATCATTTTGCAACTTTAACTCAGGACTGCAGCACTGGCGGTACGAAGATGTAAATTGACAGGGTCATCATTGTTGTCAAGTTATTGTGACTGTAACTATAAGATTCGACATGTAATCTTCAATCAACTTTTTTTTTCTCGAATATGCACGAGTGTGCATACTATATATTCAAGAAGGGAAAGGGGGAAAGAGCCCCTCCACGTTGGCGATTACATCATCCCAACTCCGCCCGTACAACACTTACACGCTAAATCCTCACGACATCCCCCACCTGCAAGCTTGCTAGAAAGCGATCAACGTCCAATCTAAGCAAGCCTGCCTCCTTCCACGCTGCGCACTCCACAGCTATCCTACGCATTACATACACAATCGACGGGGCATCCCCCTCAAACACTATGCCATTGCGATGCTTCCACAGCTCCCAAAGCACCAGGACGAGCAGCGCCCGCGTGTCCTTCTTCTCAGCCGCACTATCTGCTGTGCTCACGCACCACTCTGCCATTGTGGCTTACCCCAGGCCGTGCACACCCGTGCCCATACTTCTGTGGCGAAGACACACCGGAGCATTAGGTGGTTCATACTCTCCTCAACTTGATCACAGAACGGACAAGCATCCTCATGCTGTAGTCCCCGGCTCGCTAATCTGTCCGATGTCCAACATCTGTTCTGCAACGCAAGCCAAGTGAAAAATCTGCATCTCAAGGGAGCCTTGGACTTCCATGTGAACTGCGCCATTGGATCCTTCTCTCGAGCCCAGAATTTAGCCTGGTATGCCGACCTCGTGGAGAAGGAGCCGCTTGGCTCCCACGCCCACCTCACTGAATCCACCGAGTCCTGATGTAGCTGCACTCTCTCCATTCGATCCCATAACCTTAGGTACTCCTAAAGCATCTGATTCATCACTTCAGGTCCTATATCTAAAGCCCAGGCTCCGTTCGTCAGGCCATGACTGACTGTACGGCTGCCTCGAATCCTTTGCCGTACCGTACTATAAAGTGTTGGCGCCAGCTCCTCCACTCTGAATCCATCCACCCATCTGTCCTCCCAAAACAACGTGCTCTCACCATTTCCCATCGTCGCATGGGTTGCAGCCTGGAATATTTGCATCGATCTTCGAGGGACTGAGATATCAAGCTTCGCCCACGGTCTTGATGGATCCACTCTTTTCAGCCAGGGCCATCGTGCCTGCATGGCCGCGTTCAGCCACTTGAGGTTGGGAATGCCAAGTCCTCCTGCCCATCTCGGTGAGCACACTTTCTCCCAGGCCACTCTACACTGTCCACCGGATGCCTGGTCGTTGGCGCACCACAAGAACCCGCGGCAAATCTTATTCATGGCCTTTATGACCTTCTGTGGGATGTCCAATGCCATCATCATATGTATAGGGATTGCGCAGAGCACAGATTGGACAAGAGTCATTCTTCCACTCTTCGGCATGTTGACAGCCATCCACCTAGGTAGGCATCGAGCCAGTTGATCCACCATACCCATCAGCTGGGCTGCTGTTTGCTTTCGCAGGGTGAGGGGGAGCCCCAAGTATCTGCATGGATAAGCACCTTGGGGGCAGCCAAGCACCTGTACCACCCTCTCCATGATCACTGAATTGCACCGAATTGGCAAAGCTGCACTCTTCTGCAGGTTAACTCTGAGACCAGACGCTTCACCAAAGAGACGCAGCAAGGCTGCACAAGTAGTGAGGTCTTGTACCTCCGGCTTGAGGAAAATCATGACATCATCCGCGAACATAGATACTCTCTCGGTTAAACCTCTGGAAGCTAGCGGGGAAATGAGACCACGCTCGAGAGCCACCCCAAACATCCTCTGAAGTGGCTCCATTGTGAGGATGAATAGCATTGGAGAGACAGGGTCACCCTGCCTCAGACCCTGCCAATTGAAGATAGGCTCTCTTGGCACACCATTAACCATGATCCTTGTTGACGATGTTGCAAGTAATCCATAGATCCAGTCGATCCACTTAGTGCTAAAACCCATGCACCTCAACACTTCCACCAAGAATGGCCACTGCACCGAATCAAATGCCTTTGAGATATCCATCTTGAGCATGATGGTAGGCTGCTTGAGCGCGTGCAATCTCCTTGCTGTAATTTGCACCAACATGAAGTTGTCATGTATGGAACGTCCCCTGACAAAGGCAGTTTGGTGCTTACCAACCAGCCCTGGCAGCTCCAAGGCTAATCTACCCGCAAGTAGCTTGTCAAAAATCTTGATCACCCCATGGACCAGGCTCACAAGCCTGAAATCTTTAATGTCGATCGCCCCATCCACCTTAGGCAACAAGGAAACGATTGCCTTATTGATAGCATGCAACCCGCGCATATCACCACGAGAAAAAGAGTCCAGCGCGGCCATGATGTCTCCTTTAATAATCTCCCAGCATGAAGCATAAAAACGGCCTGTGAATCCGTCCGGACCGGGCGCCTTGTCCATGGGCATCGCATGAACAACTTTCCGTACCTCCTCCTCAGTGAATGCGATGTCAAGGCCCGGCATGTGTAAGCAAGGTAGCTGGAGCGTTTCCAAGTTGATAGAGGCCAATCATTGCTGGGCAGTTCCAAATAGATTCTTGCAATACCCATCTACCATGCTTGCAATCTCATCCTGATTCGTGGCCATTGAAACTCCATCAGACAACGAGGTGATCATGTTCCGCCTCTGTCGGTGACACGCCGATTGGTGGAACAGCCGCGTGTTACCCTCTCCTTCCCGTAGAAAAAGGATCCTAGATCGCTGCCTCGCGATGGTCCGTTCAAGCGAGCAAAGCCCTAACAGTTTCTGTTTCAGAATTCTCCGTAGCTCACGCTCCTGCTCAGTCAAAGCTCTCATGTCCATCGCCTTATCCAGCCGCTGGATCACTTCCAGCGCGATCGTGATTTGAAGCTTAACATTACCGATCCACCGGTCGCTCCACCGCTTTAAGCTTTTTGCCGTAGCTCTCAACCGCAAATCCAAAGTCTTGAAAGGATTATCCTCACGTGGTACAGAGGCCCAAGCTTCTGCTACAGTATCCAAGAATCCATCTGCCTTCATCCAAAAAGCCTCAAATTTGAATCGTGACCCCATGCACAGGTCCGTGTTCACGTCAAGCAGTAGCGGGCAATGATCCGATATGGCCGATCCCACCGCACTCAGGCAACAAGTTGGGTGCAGCTCCTCCCACGACGCAGTGCAGAATACATGGTCCACCTTCTCAAGTGTCACGTTCACTCTCTCATTAGACCAAGTGTACCGACGCCCATTCAGATAAACCTCCTTCAGCTCAAGCGAGTTCAGCTTGGAGCGAAACTTGCCCATCATTCTGCGGTTTATCCTCTCATTACTCTTGTCCTCTGGGTTAACCAAAAGGTTAAAATCGCCCGCAACCATCCACGGTCCAGCATGGAGCTCACGGATTTCATCCAACTCCCGCAGGAAAAGCAACTTCTCTTGGTCGAGCTGTGGCCCGTACACACCTGTCAACCACCACTGCGGGCCCTCCACCGGCATGACCAGGACCGTAAGCGTGTAATCCATGTAGTGCGGGTTAGACACACGCACCACCGACTCGTCCCATGCTAACAGGATTCCACCACGAGTACCACTCGCCGGCAAGTAAAAGAAGTTCCCGAATTTATAGCCGAGGCAATGACGAACTACATCAAGAGTTACAACCTCCATTTTAGTTTCTTGCAGGCACACCACACTCGGATTGGCCGCGGCCACCACCTGGGCTACCACATTCCTACATGCCGGGCTGTTAAGACCCCGCACGTTCCACACCAACATTTTGAAAGGCGTACAATTCATGTTGCGAACCTACCGAACCACCAGCACCGCACCCTAGTGCAAGTCCTCCACGACGGGCTCCCCTTCAAACCCCGGCAAGACCGACGGCTGCCAACCGAAAAGTGCAGCTTAACAGTGTTGCTTTATTTATAAGTTCACTATCCAAACCCTTACAAGTTTTAACAAGAGAAATATCTGTCGGTTGCACTGCCCTACTTTTGTCCTGACGATAATGATTTGTAGTACCAAATCTTCATATTTGGTCAACAGTATTTGTTCTTTTGTTTTGTGTCAAACCTTTTGCTTAAATGCTCCTGAAATTTTACCAGTAGATTATATGGCTAGGCAGGAAACTGTACTTGCCTTTGGCCTTGTATTCACTACTTGCTACAGTATCCGGCATTTTCAGACCATATTGTAGGAGGAAAAGCACGGCCATCAGATATTGTACTACTACTAGACTACTCTTTAAAGAAAAGTAACACGAAATAATGAGATCCACACAGATGCGGGAGTATCCAACTATAAAGGTAAGAAAGATAAAAGGAAATACATATAAACTTAGAAGACAAGTTGCGAATATGGTCAACCAACAAATCAATTTTGTTATGAGCATCAGATCGTTTCTTCTGTACGTCATGTACTACCTTTTGACAAAGTTGAATAAGAACTACTAACAAAGAAAGCATCAATTAAATGGCCTCCTAATGAAAGACGATGCGTATTCAAGTGATCAGTGTGAATCAGTTCCAAGCCCCAAACAAGACTATTATTACTATGCAACTTGTATATGCGGGAGCACATAGTCTTGGCGCGGAGTGCCACTCTCAAATTGTGGTTGCAGTCGTGGCACCGACACTAGCCTTGTGTAAAGGGCAGAGTATACAGTACATTATTACGAATCACCTTTCTCTGAAGGTGGAGCACACTCGACATTGCTACCAGAGGTTGTTGAGTTCCCGGCATCATCTTTTCTGCTTGTACCCATCACTGATTCTTCATTTGGTGCAGCTTTGGGCAGCAAGGTACATCCATATATGTTGAGCGTGCTTGCAGCCTCCTGAGCAACTTCTCCATGACGCGGAACCCTAGGTGAAAACAAAGGCACAAATTTTCAGTCTATAATTGTTAAGCTTGTAGATGACAAAGGCTATGAAGGTTACGGCAATCTGAGGTTGAACAAACAGCTGCAATTATTCCATCAACAATTATTCTGTTGACGGTGCTTGTGCAGATTATGATAGTACCATACAAATCAACTGCACATCGATGAAATATTTTTAACTAGCCAACACCAGAGGTATATACCTCTTCTAGAATAGGATAACATCTATCCCTCCAATAAATGCACTTTGAGTTTATGTACATTGCAAAGCACATGTCATAACAAAAGATGCCAGGTCCTAACTCTCAAGTACTGCTATGAAAGGAAAAAGTTACTAGGGATAGTTCGACTCACTGAATCCCTAAAACACAGTTGGGCTCGCCCAAACACAATAAAGATAAACATCGGTTGGCAACCACATCGACGTGGAACATCTGAAACCGTTGTAAATTCATCTCCCAAACTAAAGTACTCAAAGTCACAAAGTAACTAAGGGCACATGGAAACCAACAGCTGATCTTAAAGAGCACTGAACTAATTAAGGTAAAGTCTTTTTTCCACAATCACATCCATACAAATGTTTGAATGTGGAGGCGTTTTGGAGTAGAGCCCTCACCTCATATTGTGGCCATGGCTGATGCTTTCGAAGGTGTTGACAAAGTCCCCCTCCTTGAATGCATTGGACCCCTTGTCGAACAGCAGCGGCGCTTGATCTACCGTTTTCTCCTCCCCACCACCTGCTTCCTCACTAGGCTTCAATGCCAGAAGATTGTGGTGCTCACCTCTGGGCCCAGGAGTGTAGGAACCAACAACTGGATCTTCCTCACGTGCTCTGATTGTAGCTCAATTGTGAACAGGCCAGCAACCGTGCTAACAAGAATGACATTTGCTCCCTCAACAAACCTCACCACATACGACCCTCCATAGCGTGCATCACTACGAGTACCAATAGGTAGCAAGTTGTACAGGTCGATGACCCGACTCAGCACCCATCCTGCATTAGGGTCGCCAATCGCCTCCCATGTCCACAATTTGATATGCTCATTTTTTTTTTTGCGGGTAAATTTGATATGCTCATTGAACGAAGTCCCAATCCACCATCCTCCGTCAGCATGAGGTTACATCCGTGTTCGGTGCAGTCATCTGGTGGCTCAGACACGGTCAGGGCGTGACTTGCCAAGTCATACTCCATGATTGACGTATGTTCGGTCCTGCCCCTGAAGTAGAGCAAAGAGCTGCCAACAAGCACGCTAGCACATCGTTGGTAGCTAATGTTGAACTCGCTGTGCACCGAGGTCAGCTCTCCCCAGGTGCCAGTCTCCGACGAGTAAACGGTCGCCGACCTAACCCACTCCTCCTCCTCCTGTGGGTCAAAATCCTCGGGGAGGTCTGAGAAGGAGAAGACCACGCGGAAAGGACCACCGAGGCAGTCGCGATGGTCGCACCCATCCGCTGCGCACAACACAGCCGCCATCGGGTAGTTGTTCCAGCTCCCGAACGCCGCGGGCACCGGCACGCGCTGCTGGGCGCCCGTGGTTGGCTCCCACACAAGGAGTTCCAGAGTACCCTTGCCCGTGGAGATGAAGAGGGCGCGACCATGGCGGCAGTTCTTGGCCCGCCAGGAGTGCCAGTCCGGGGCGGCGGGAGAGAAGGACGAGGCGGTGGTGGGGATGAAGCGGGGGATGCGCTCGTAGAGCCCGTCGCGGAGGAAGCCGAGGAGGGGTGGTGTCGGGTGGAGCTCGTGGAGGCGGCGGCGGAAGGCCGGGCGAGAGACGATGCCGGCCCAGTCCTTGCAGAGAATGGAGGCGCGGAGGAGGAATGCGGGGTCGTCGGGCGGGAGGCGGAGGAGGATCTCTTCGATGAGGTCGTCCGGGATCGCCGGCGGCGCTGCTGCCATGGCTGTCTAGATCTGATCTGGGGCGTGTGGGTGTGCAGCGGAGGGGGTGGAGTGCATGGCTGAGCTCAACCGCGACGAGCTGTTTCCCTTCTCAGCCTCCTCGTTACTCTCTCCGTTCCAGATTCTAGTGCGCATAATTTTTCCTGGCATATTCCATATTGTAGTGCGTATTAGCAGCCGTAATCAATTCTGGACGAAAATAGCCCCGTTTTATCCCCTTCCTTCCACACAAGCATCAATGCATCATGACGGTTGGAACGAAGCATCTCCCTCGCCGCGCTCTTCCTCACCCCCACCTCCGCACGTGCGGTCGTGCTCCGGCGTGCTCTACACCAGCCTGCTTTTCTCTGTGCCGGATGGATGAACACTCATGGACGCCGGTCAAGGCGCATCATCGTCTGCCTGTACAATCCACCTTACACCGGTGCCATTTGCCACTCCGAGTACGCCGCCGCTCGTACATCTAGCTTGCACTGGTGCCAATCGACTTCCTCAGGTGCCGACTGCCCCTTTCTCAATCTTCTTTCCTCAACACCGTTGAGCAGCTCCGCCTTGGGTCCGAGGTCGATGTCGATTCCAGCGGGCCACCGACAAGGTTGGGTGATTCTTGGAGTCGAAGCGGCAGCACGCCAGCGCCGACTTCCTGTGCAGTAGCGGCGGCAGCTCCCAGGAGCCAGATGCGGCTTCCGATGTCTCCGTGACCGCCACGGCAGGCTTCTTCACGTCCAGCGTGCCCATGGCCGGCGCAACCGCATCCTTGGCCCGCATCTCCTCTTCCCTGGTCGGCTTTCTTGCCGGTTGTTCACGCTCGCGTCGAGTTGGAACAGAGGAGGCCGGCGTACTAGTACTAGTACTTCTTGCACATGGGTTGGGGACTTTCTCGTCTAAAATTTAGTGCCAGCGCATGAACGGAGGGAGTATTTTCAAGCTTCTAAATGGCAGAGGCCTTCGGTGCCCTCTCAATGCAACCCAAGTAACTACATTTTCTGAGAAGAAGGTATACATAGACGGACGTGGCGTTTTGGTGCCCAGGCTCACCTGCACCTGAAATCCAATCCGTTGATGTCTCTCTTGGGATTCTGAAAATCTGGTTTGATGGGACAGGTTCAGTGCGCAGTAAAGTCTAATAAGGGTTGTATACGCACCTGAACAGTTGTCGACGGTGGGACCTAACTGACGAGCGGCAGTGTGAGTTGAACAATGGGGGACGGGTCTGTATGGATTAGATGCCTGAGCCGTGGCTCAGTCCGTCTGCACATAACGGGGGTTCGTAGGCGAGTCGTTGCTTAGGTTGACTACTAGGCCACGTAGTCGGTGTAGGCCTGAAATTCAAACTCCAGGTGGTGTGCTGTAGAGCGGTGCACAGGTTAGTCGCTCCCAGACTAGAGTTTGACATTTATGCTCCTGTAGAAGGAAACCGTAGAGTACTAAAGACAATAATAAAGATTTCAATCGTGCTAAAAGCACATACGTACGGGTATATTTGGGCGAGAATTCACCTGGACAATGGTGCGTGGCCGCCCCTACTACTGACAAGTGAGAAGGCATCATTCCTACACTAGTAGAAAAACACCTAATAGACCCGGTTCGTAAGGGCCTTAGTCCCGGTTCATAAACCGGGACTAATGGACCGTTACTAATACCTCCACCCATTAGTCCCGGTTCAAACTAGAACCGGGACCAATGTGCCTCCACGTGGCCTTGTGCGCCGAGCCCAGTCAGGTGGCCTTTGGTCCCGGTTGGTGACTCCAACCGGGATCAAAAGGCATCCACGCGTCAACATTCCATTGGCTGGGGTTTTTGTTTTTTTTTTTTGAAAGGAGGGGAGGTTGGGGGTTTTGGGGGGTTAATTTAGGTGTTTCATATATTGTTAGCTAGCTAATTAATAGAGAGAAGTGTCCTCTCTTATGTCCGTGCTTGGTCGACGCTACGTACTATATATACATAAGTGATCGAGAGAACCATTCAGTACAGAAGTTCGTCATGCATACCGAGAGAAGTGATCGATCGACCTCTCCTTCTCCGAGAGATTGGTCGAACAACAAGTTTTCGTATCATGTATCCGACGCTACTGGCTACATACATGTACAATATGTATAAGATCTCTTAATTACAAACCCCTAGCATTTGAAATCAATTTCCACATGGTATTCTCCGGCTTTATTGATGACGTGGTCAAGAAAGAATCCCGCCAATTCCTCTTGAATTGCTTTCATGCGATCTGGTTCTAGGAGTTCATTCCGCATCTGCCACGTCTAATTTGAAGAAGGGGGTTAATTAATACATATATATGAATGAAACTCAACAGAAATGATGGTGTAACAAAATGAAATTGTGAATATTATTGCTTACGCACTTCATATTGTCTTTGAGAGTAGCCCCGCTTGTTTTTCAAAGTCGTGGTGTGGATGAACTCGCACACGTAGTATCCACAGAAATCATTCCCTTCCTCCTGCCACAAGCACTTTACGAGAAATAGAGGTCAATCAAACTGATAATGAAGCATTATAAATGGCATTGATGAAAGTATAGCTATAGAATCAACGGGAGATGCGCGCAACTAGCTAGCCAGTAGTACTTACTTTCGGCCATTTATATGTCAGCTCCTTCGGCAGCCCCGGAGCTTCTGCGGTGAACTGTTTCCAAACCCTGCAAGACAAAGAAAATTATTATTATTACTTGAGATATCAGGAAATGAACAAAAAGTTGCCGATATGGTGCGATAATGATCGATTGAACTTACTTGCTGAGCATTTCAGTGATGTCCGCATAGGATTTGGGATCTTTCCGTCTCGAGTCTAAGACGGTTACTAGTCCACGCTCAAGCTTAATCTCCAGAAGAATATAGTGGTACCTGCGCACGCATGCATAACTCATCAATTACATTACTATAAGCTCGCTTGAGTAATAAGGGAAACCGGATATGCACACGACAGTAACACTCACGGGCCGTTGTAAGGAAAGAGTATGGTATCTTTGTTTTGATTTTTGATCAACGATTGTAGCAAGTTGTCCTCGGCCTCTTTGACGTTCTTTTCAACCAGAAATACATCTATGATATTTGTGTTAATGAACCCAATATCATAAATTTCTTGTTTTTTGCACTCGACGATCTTCAATCTGCATAATATATATATTAAGGATAATTAATTATAAATACATGCAATGAAAGAGCCAAGCTATATATAGAGACTTAATGACAGAAATAGTACTTATAGGCAGTAGCAAAAGACCATTAATTTATCGAGGGCCTTTTGATTGAAGAACTCGAAGAACTCCTCAAATGGAACAGTCAACAGATCATTTGCAACGAGATCGTGCTCCTCTTTAATATGCAGATACAAAGCATTCTTACCCTCAGACTCTCTGCAGGTTTCCATGTACCAATTATGGAATCTTCGCATCATTGTTGTCAGAAATTTTTCATTTTTGACGAGAGGCTTCCCGTACTCATATCTGTGTCCGTCCACCTCCAAAAAATCAGGAAGTGCATCGTCAGGCAGGTAATCATCAAGATTGCCATAACCGGCCACCGTCCCCGGAGCATTAGACACATTGAGCGGGGGGCACGATTGCTATGCTTGTTCGCCAAGCTGGGCAATTTTTTCCCCTTTGATCGTTCTTTTGACCTTTTAGCACTGACAGTAGTTCCCGACCGCTGGGCTTGGAGATATGTTTATTCAGTAATGCGCTCATAGTTGGTTCTCGGCAGAGACTTTGGTGGTTTTCTCAGGGCGTTGAGAGTGCGCTTTGCTTTCACCGGATCTACCTTCTCCTCCGGAGGTGGATGTCTCTTTGCTTTCACCCCTTCAAAGAACTCCTTCATGTGGGTCCGCACAATCGTATCGTTTTCCTCCTGGGACCTCTCGTACGGTAACTTCTCTAGAGGCTTGAGAGATGGTGGACCATATTTGTATTGCCTCCTGCCTCTGGTTGTGCTGCTAGACGCCGGAGCAGACGGAGCGGCTGCGGCGTCTGTCTTCTTTCGTGCTTGCTTACGAGGCGGAGAAGAAGGAGTACGATGCGTCGGAGCAGCCGGGGCGGCGGCGGGTCTCTTCCGCCCTTGCTGGCGAGGCGGAGAAGGTGGATGCTGCTGGCTGCTCGGGAGCGCCGGCGCAGGCGGAGAAGGAGGCGGAGTGCCGCCATGCGCCGAAGAAGGAGGCGGAGTGCCGCCACGCATGCCCTGATCGTCACTCGCCGGAGGAGGAGGCGGTGGAGGAGGCGGAGTTCCCTGACTCGCCGGAGCAGGAGGAGGAGGCGGAGGCGTCTAGTTCAAAAGGTTGATGAGCTCCTTCTTCCATAGGCATGGAGTCTTCAGAGCAGAACCCAGCCTAGTCTCCCCTTCACCGGTAGGGTGGTCAAGCACGAGGTCCTCAAATCCCTCCGTTATTTCATCCACCATCACCTTAGCATATCCTTTTGGAATCGGCTGGCAGTGATAAGTTGTGCCGGGTCCACTAGGATAAACTTGGCCAACAGCCGTCTTGACCTTGAAAGTCATCCATCGCGCCATCATGTGGCAATTTTGAGACTCCGTGATACCATCCACGGGATAGCTGGCAGGAGCCGTCAAGACATGCTCCGGCTGAAGCATCTCGGTGGAAGCCACGCTACTTCTCGGCTGAGATGGCGGGGTAGCTTCGGGGGAAGCTTCAGCAGGTCGTTTGTTGCGATCTGCTGCTTCTCGTTCCTCTTCTCGATCCTCTAGCCCCATTACCCTTTCGTGCAGCGCCTGCAGTTGGTCCTGCTCCAGTTTCTTCCTCCTCTCATGGGTTTTGTAACCCCCTGCATTCGGAAAACCAACCTTCCATGGAATGGAGCCTGGCGTGCCTCGTGTCCGTCCAGGATGCTCAGGATTCCCAAGGGCCATTGTGAGCTCGTCCTTCTCCCTGTTTGGAAGGAATGTCCCTCGCTGCGCTGCATCGATATAGTGTCGAAGGTTCTTGACTGGTAATTCCAGTTGCTCGTCCGTCCACTGGCAAAACCCTGTTGCAGGGTCC